GCCAGAGTTGCTTGTTGCTTGTCATGTTCGCGTTGTATTTCCAACTCGCGTTGTTTGGTTTCAAGCTGTAAGCGTTCCCGCTCCTGGAGTGTTTCAAGCTGTACTCGTTCACGTTCACGGAGTAATGCGACCTCGCGTTCGTGTTCTTCCCTCCTCAAAGCAGCTTCGCGTTCTTGTTCGTCTCTCCTCAAAGCAGCTTCGCGTTCTTGTTCTTCTCTTCGTATGGCAGCAGCTCGTTCTTGTTGTTCGAGGGCTTCCCTTTGCTGCTCACGTTCAATCTTGGCCAGCTCTAGTTTGAGTTTCAGCGTTGCCAAATCAGTTTTATCTGCAATATAGTAAGTTTCATGAGTTTCAGAGTCTATCTTACCTTGCTCTAAATAGTAATCCAGCAACAGGTTGTGTAGGTCATTTTTGTTGGCTTGGTAGGGAACTTCTAGTTGATACTCATGTGCAAGAGTTTGTAATTCAGTCCTCTTGGCACGACTTAAAGTCCCTATTTCACCTGCTGGATTTGCACGGAAAGTTTGGAGACGAAACATGGTGAAATTAGCAAATAAAGGTACACGAATGTTCAATAATGAAATGTCAGAAACAGGACAACGTGGCAACTGGCACCTATCCTGTGTGATCTTTAACAATTAACGTTAAGTGAAAGATATTAAATGATTAAATTAAATCAAGGGCGCAGGAAATCTTGTACCCGGTACTCATGTAAGAGAATAAGGGCAAGAAAATCCTACTAACAAATGAAACAAAGTTTCGAAAACAAATGAAACAGTTAAATGCTTCAAAAGTAAAATTGGTAGTCCAAGGATGTAGGCATACCTTGCCAAGTCTCTAAAGGACATAAAGCAAGTTTTTCCTACTGAATTTAATATGATACTTACAGAATTAGCGAACTTTTGTGCTCTGAAAAAATAAGCTAATTCCCTACCGTTGTATGTATCATCATCTCTGACTGACGTGTAGGGGTGCGAGGTGTCAACTGGTGACGAGAACTGCTGCTGAGGTCCCAATTCAGCAACTAAAGTTCGAGCTAGAGGAACTATGGCCCTCTTTATCCTCCTACAGTCAGATTGCAGAAGATTGGGTACTCTTGACCCGGGGCAGACCACAGTACCAGGGTACCAATATGATGATCTGTCAGAATGAGAAATATTCAAGGGACATAGATGGTAAATACGAGTAATAACATGGAGGGAGAGATGACCAATTAAGAGTATGACTGAGGCCTACAGTCACCACGTAATCCAAAGTTGTCTCACCTTCACTATATGTTACTCTCGTAATGCACAATACACCGCACCTTATAAAAAATGAAATTGAATGAAAAATAGTAAAGCTACGTTAACAAAGTTAAATACGCTTACCATAAATTACCACTTGGCACCAGTACCTGAGTGAAGCTCCTAGGACAGGCCCCCATATAACTTGTGACGGTAACGCGTTGGTGTTCGGCTGTTTAAGGCTAGGGGTATGGCCTCGTCACATAGTTATAAAAAAAAATAGAAAAACTGGAACTTCGTCTGTGGTAAGGTAAGGAGAAGACACACAAAACACAAGTAAAACTTTAACAATGAAATTTTAATGACGTTAAATAAATCAAAACATGAAAATAATGCACAAACAAATTCTTATAATAAAATCAATCAAAATAATAAGAATAATTAAATGACACAATGAAAAGTTACGTTAAGGCAAAATAACAAGAAGTGCAATACAAAAGTTAAGTGGGAGGTGCTGGAATATTGGCTTAAAGCCACCACCTCTCTCAGTACACGCTAACGTCTAGCTGGGAGGAGTGCTGGCTACGAAAGCACTGAACATTCTGAAGACTGATGTTGGGGCGACCCCAGACATCAGGTAGTATTGGGGGGGGGCGAGGCAGGTGCAGCCAGACCGGCGACCAATCAGCGGAGCCGTAGCGATCAACGGGTAGTTTGGTGGTTGGAGTTCGAACAGGTGGCTGGCTGCATACGTTTTTGCTCACCCTGGCAAGCCTTGCTGGTGTTGTTGTCGTTGTTGGACATTTCTTCCATAGTCTTTTTATATAATTGTGAAGACGTAATTATGGAGGGAAGAGCAGGCTCAATCTCTTGAAGGAGATTATCGTCACAATATATATATATATATATATATATATATATATATATATATATATATATATGTCGTACCTAGTAGCCAGAACGCACTTCTATGCCTACTATTCAAGGCCCGATTTGCCTAATAAGCCAAGTTTTCATGAATTAGTATATTTTCTCTAATTTTTTCTTATGAAATTATAAAGCTACCCATTTCATTACGTATGACGTCAATTTTTTTTTATTGGAGTTAAAATTAATGTAGATATATGACCGAATCTAACCAACCCTACCTAACCTAACCTAACCTATCTTTATCGGTTAGGTTAGGTTAGGTAGCCGAAAACGTTAGGTTAGGTTAGGTTAGGTAGGTTAGGTAGTCGAAAAACAATTAATTCATGAAAACTTGGCTTATTAGGCAATTCGGGCCTTGAATAGTAGGCATAGAAGTGCGTTCTGGCTACTAGGTACGACATATATATATATATATATATATATATATATTATATAATATAATATAATATTAGTCGAGGATTGGACGCCGACTCTTGGCTATTGTGGCGTCTAGGAAGTGTGCTAATTTACAAACACGAAATAAACTACCGTAAGTAATGAGTGGAAAATATACTATGCATGAAAGAATGGTTCATTCAGTGGTGTGAGCGACGGCGAGTGACGCAGTGAAGCACTTGAGTACGGGACAAGGAGCAGCTTGTGGCTCTGTTTGTGTTCTTAGTCGTGCCAGCTGACGACGACGACAGCCTAAACTGTCGTACACTGACCCAGAGAGAACTGTCGTACACTGACCCAGAGGGAACTGTCGTACACTGACCCAGAGAGAACTGTCGTACACTGACCCAGAGGGAACTGTCGTACACTGACCCAGAGGGAACTGTCGTACACTGACCCAGAGAGAACTGTCGTACACTGACCCAGAGAGAACTGTCGTACTCGGACCAGAGGGAACTGTCGTACACTGACCCAGAGAGAACTGTCGTACACTGACCCAGAGAGAACTGTCGTACACTGACCCAGAGGGAACTGTCGTACACTGACCCAGAGGGAACTGTCGTACACTGACCCAGAGAGAACTGTCGTACTCGGACCAGAGGGAACTGTCGTACACTGACCCAGAGAGAACTGTCGTACACTGACCCAGAGAGAACTGTCGTACACTGACCCAGAGGGAACTGTCGTACTCGGACCAGAGGGAACTGTCGTACATTGGCCAAGAGGGAACTGTCGTACATTGGCCAAGAGGGAACTGTCGTACATTGGTCAAGAGGGAACTGTCGTACTCGGATCAGAGGGAACTGTCGTACATTGGCCAAGAGGGAACTGTCGTACTCGGACCAGAGGAAGCTATCGTACACCAACTCACAGGGGACTGTTTGTACACGGATCCAGGGGAAATTACCCTCCACAGACTCGGTTCCGTCTGAGTCCGTGTACGATAAGCATCTCGACCTCAGTGGTGGAAACCGACGCAAGACACTGGGGAGGGAAGTGTTTATGTTTGGTGGGGGAGAAATGTTGCCCCTCGCCCTCAGGATGTATGGCTGAGAGAACACTCCTGTGAATCCCTTCAAACCGGACGTTACAGCTTAATCCAGGATATCAGTGTACCATGTGGTGATAAGATACTTGACAGCTGTGATAAGTTTGATTTAATGAAGTTTGTTATGATTGAGTTGTAACTCACTGTGGCCCTTAGTTCGAGTCCCTCTCCTGGCCCGTTCCCATCATTTGCCCTTACTCACCTTCCTCCTTCCTCTCATTCTCTCTCTCTCTCCCCCTGCTCCTCCTTCCTCTCTCATTCCCTCCTCTCTCCCTGCTCCTCCTTCCCGAGCCTTAGCAACAAGTATCAATACACGAGTGACGTCATAGTCATCAAGGTTTTGTTGATCAAACGGCGAGAGACGTCCACTTGCTCGACAACTTCACAGCACTCTATCCACCAGCGCCTGTCTGTCTGCCTGTCTGCTTGTATGTCTGCTGCTTGCCTGTCTGCCTGCCTGCCTGCCTGTCTGCTTGTCTGCCTGTTTGCCTGTCTGCCTGCTTGCCTGACTGTCTGCCTGCATGCCTGCCTGCCTGCATGCATGATTGTCTGCTTGTCTGCCTGCCTGTCTCTGCCTGCCTGCCAGCCTGCTTGCAGGCAGGTGGCTTTTCTTATATTCGTGTACAGCCACTAGCACGCATAGCGTTTCAGGCAAGTCCTTAATCCTAATTTTCCCTGGAAATACGATCCGCCAAATCGTTTAACAACCAGATACACATTAACTGATGAGTGAACAGAGATGTACAGTTAAGGCTTGGCGCCTAGTCAATTCTCCCCGGCCAGGATACGAACCCAGGCCAAATTGCTCGCGAAGCGCCGGGGGAGTGTTTTACCATTGCGCCACGGAGACTGCTTATAAACCGTATGTAGTGTACTAAATCCGATATTGTTTGAGTTAGAAAAACACTGGCCGTCCCAGACAGCCAGAAAGGTTCCCCCACTTTGTACCCGCAAGATAACACAAGTTGAAAGGTTTGGTAAATGTTAATCTCCTTGTCTGACGATCTGTTCACTTGAGACAGTTAAGCAAGTCCCAGCTGCGTCTGGGTACACGTGACAGGATGAACAACCCAGCGGGTTTTCTTCCTATTCTGGAGCGTTGTACATGGCGGTATGTTCACTCACCAGATGAGTGACATTGCCAAATGAATTCGCTCTTAAGAGGCAAAAATATTTAAAAATTCAACCTGCCACTAACTAGTTTCTTGTGAGGCTAGGATAAAAACTTATAATTATAAAGTGATTCAAACTTCACTGAATTTGTTTTTACCTTTACTAAGTTTATTGCAACCAAATATTAAGCCCGATAAATAAAAGTGTTCATTAAACTTCAACCAATGTTCACAGCAGAACTTGAGAACGGGTTGACAAGATCAGCCTCACGAGGAAAATAGTTGAACACAAACATGATATCAACAGAGGTCCGGTAACCATGGCGACGGAGGACGCTGGCCGGGCCAGGAGACGCCTATGGCCGGAGTGTTGACTCAGGCTTCCCGCCGTACCTGTGATCCTCTCAATTACCCTCCAACCTAAGCTTTACCGGTGAGTGCTACGTTGTTACCTTTGGGTACCGGCTGCCAGAGTCATCATGGATGTCACGTTGGGAGTTGGAGATGCTGTTATATCTTGGTGTTTAAGAATTATACATCCTAAATATCTGCCGGTTTTATCACGATGAAATAGAAAATATTGACTTTGGATACAAGTATTAGCCTTCAAGTTTGTAGTCTATAATTTTATGCCATAACGCTAGATTTCGATTTATCTTTATCAAGAAATATGCGATTAAAAGTATTTATAGACAAAATCAAATAAATAGGCTGCGTTACAGTTTGCTTTGGAGTGAAAAAGTAATTATGAGAAGAAAGCTCTAACCTATTATATTCTCTAAATACTATAACTTCTATATAAACCCCCCTATAGATCCTGTATAAATCCTATATACTATAAATAAAAATGACATAGTTGTTAAAATATTCATAAATAGTGGAACGTATGGCCACCCCATCACTGTGTACAAACTGGGTCAGATCAATAGCCTCAACAACGACACATTCTCCACCACAACGACACATTCTCCGGCACAACGACACATTCTCCAGCACAACGACACATTCTCCGGCACAACGACACATTCTCCGGCACAACGACACATTCTCCACCACAACGACACATTCTCCGGCACAACGACACATTCTCCACCACAACGACACATTCTCCGGCACAACGACACATTCTCCAGCACAACGACACATTCTCCACCACAAAGACACATTCTCCACCATGTAGCAGCTGGAAACCCGACATGATTGACGCTAGAAGCACACACACTTAGCTTAATGCTGGTGTTATCCCGGCCAGTAAAGCTCTTATCCAAGTTATTATAGGTGATATCCTGGGACAGTATTGGTGTTATCCCAACCCATCCTCCTGTTTAGATAGTACTTTTCGTAACTATGTGTCCCATAGTACAAACACTGACATACTAAGCAATTAGATAGTAGAATTTGGTACTATTCACGAGTCTGAAAAAATGAAGCTAAAAAACAAATATTACTAGGCCTAGTATAGCACATATGTACTATATTAGGCCTCAGATATCGTGTATTAGGCCTAGGAAGGTTAGGTTAGTTTAGTTTCTCTTTGCAACATAAATAGAAATCTTTTCCGGTTTGTCCAAATGCAATAGTGCAGATTTCTAATTGCGTTGTACGTCGGTATATGTACTATGATCCTCATCGTTTCTATACTACCAAAACAGGAGGATAGGCTGGTTATCCTGGCCAGCATGTGTGTTATCCTGGCCAGGAAGGGTGTTATCCTGGCTAGTAGAGGTGTTATCCCGGTTAATATAGGTTTTGGTAGCATGCCTCACTGAGGTCATTCACTTCAAAACAAAAATATTTCAACTCGGGAGATAATTGTTATTGAATTTACTATGATATGCCACTAAGCCACTAACAAGTGGCAAGTGGCACTGATAGCGGCAAGATAACCACTAACACTAGTGGTCTCTCGTCGAGGCGACTAGTGTTAGTGGCTCTCAGGTAAATACTATGTCTAAAACCACTAATGCCCACAGCGTTTCGGGGAAAGATGTGGGCAAATAAACTTTTAAAACTATGGCTAGAGAAAGCAGACAGAGGCGGAGACAGATACAGACATACAGAGGCGGAGACAGACAGAGGCAGAGACAGAAAGACAGACAGACATTCTTTCTTCCAGACTCGAGGAACTCGACACTTTGTTTACATTGATCAGCTGGCCGCGTGGTCCCCCCCCCCCCCTCCATGAGGAGACCATTTTATGACCTGAATTACTGCTATTACTTGTAACTTATGCTTGATACCGACACAAATTCAACTTAATTTTGTTGTATATGTACGGTGTTACTTACCTGTTATGGAGCGCCTTCTTTAGTCCTTGATCTCTGACGTGTAGGGTTTCACGAAGCACAATTCACTCGTTAGCAAGAAACAATGGTCATTAATTACTATCAGCCGTTGGCTAACCTTCTCACGGCTATTGATTTAGTCTCATCTATCACTTAGCAGGTCTATTGAGACCCCTTTATGTCTATTTATATTCTATTCCATGTGTTTCAAATCACTTAATTGAGGTTAGCTGCGATGCAACGCCCACTCACACACGAATCAAAACTTTTTTTTTAGTTATTTCCCAAAAAGTTGATGTTTCTCACATAGAGAAAGCACTACTGTCACTGTCACGCTGCTGCGACACTTCCTTGACACTGCCTCGGTGTCCTGACACTGCCTGCTCACGTCTGGGGAGTGTCAGAAACGCTTATTATACACTGGACATTGGTGCTTCTCCCTCCTGCTTAGCTTCTCCATCTTCACCTCTCCCCACGCTATCTTCAGTATACGAACTGACGCTTAATATTTGATTCCTTGTTGGCAACATATTAGTCATTGTATTCATTTATTATTAGTCACTGTATATACATATTAGCCACTGTATAATATTAGTCAATGTATAATGATGTTAGCTACAGTATAATTATATTAGCCAATGTATAATATTTTATTTTTTTATTTATATATACAAGAGTTCTTACATTTGATACTTTTTTTTTAAATTACCCACTGTATTATGATATTATCTACTATGTTATGGCATTATCCCCTGTATTATAATATAAACCATTATTGTGTTATGATGTTAGTTAAAGTATTATGACATTATCCACTGTATCATGATATTAACTACTGTGTTATGATATTAGCCACTGTATAATGCTATTGGCCGCTGTTTTAAACTATCCCCCAAATCGGGTTTGAATTATCGAGACGAAAATGGTTGTGAATGAGTATAATTTATTTATTTATTTATATACAAGAAGGTACATTGGGGGTTAAAGAGAATACATAGCAATAATGATTTTACATTCTTGTAAAGCCACTAGCACGCATAGCATTTCGGGCTGATGGGTTTGAAGATACGGGCATAATGGGTTTGAAAGGTTTCAAAGAGATTGAATACGTTTGTGATTTGTTTTCCTTCGGACCTTAGAGCAAGTGATGCCGCCCCTGAGGTCTGTGACCGCGTTGAAGGCGGCGTGTGCGGACGTGCTGGCCGCCACCCTGGCGGCGGCCTTCGTCAGCGTGGCGGGAGGCGGCCTCTGTGGTGCCACCAGGCGCCTGGTCGGCCGTCCCAAGAAGTCAGGGACAGCAAGAAAACCTGTGAGATTCATCCATAGTTTGACCACCTTAAGATAACTGTTGATACAATGCTCGAGTGTTTGCAGAATATTATATTAAATTTATTTCATATACATGTATTCAGTTCATCACTTTGGCATTTTATATATTTTAAAACAAAACTTTGGAACTTCACCTAACCTAAATGGGCCAATTATTCCTGCTTAACTTTAATAAATTCAGCAGATTTTCGATGACTTATCATTCATATATGTTTATATGAAATCGTGATGTTTATCAAAATTACCATGAAGATACAGGGAAAATTAATAAAGCAAGCCTAATCGGACGCAGCGAACCTTGCTAACTAGGCCTCGTCTGATGGCTCTGCCTGAAGATTATATATTTAAGGCATTCATAACTTCTTGTGAATGTTATTCAGCGTTATAATACTGGCTTATCCTGTTGTAGGTGACACGAGTAGCTGACGGCATCCTGGCAAGCAACCCGACCACTCAGATCATCAAGATCCAACAGTACTTGGGCCAGGGAGTGCCCAAGGACCGCCGGGAGGAGGTTCTGCAGAAGGTGCTGCTGCAGGTGGCACAGATGTTGACCAAACTGGGCACGAAGAAGAAGTCCAAGGATTTGGGTTTTGGCCTGACTGTTCAGAGACTGGAGCAGGCGCTGGGTTACGCCTTGGTCACCCTCCTCGACCCAGTAGTAACCAAGCTGGATTTGACACCTTTAATTCACCACACCATGAAATGGGTTTCCACATGCAAGCTTAATAATCGTGATCCAAAGGAAACAAATGCGATTGATACAGTGAAAGTTGAAAACATTCTTATCAAAATCTTCGGCGAAAATGCCCAAAAACTCGGTAGTTTGACGTCAATTCACTGGCCGCATTTGGTATCAGGTGAAGTGATAAGGATAATTGGACGTCACTGCAGGAACCTTCGCCGCCTGAAACTTGCATGTAAATGCGACGTCACCGCTGCTATGAACACCGTGAAGGAAGACCCGGCTGTCGCCCGACAGGAGAGGGAGCTGATGAACTCTCTAGGGGCCCTGTATGATCGAGCACCCGGAGACTTCTCAGGTACGCGGCCCGGGGGCTGTCCCCACCTTCAGACACTAGTGCTTCCCAGACTGGACGACGAGGATGGCAGTCTGGCTAAACATGTGGCCAGCGCGCTCTGCTCCTTGAGAGAACTGGAAGTCATTTCTGGTGCCCCGATGTTGGTGAGTCTCGCTCTCTTGAAGAATGAGCGACAGCCTCCTCGGAAGTTGATCTTAAAACATCTGAGCGACATTGATACTTATAACAGGAGACCTATGCCAGATTTGTCATATTTAACAAATCTTTTACCGCAGCTCAATAGTATCGAACTCATAGTCTCTCAAGGAATAACAAGGGCAGTAACCGAGAGTTTCCTCAATGTCAAATCGCTAAAAATTGCACAGCCAGACTTCCACCTCAATGTTCGTAACTTTAAGTGCCTGGAAACGCTGGATATCAATCTGGAATTCCAAGTTGCCTGGCCTTTACTGTTTTCTATAAGTCGTGGTCGAGTGCAGGTTAAAGACCTTACTCTCCGCCACCCAACCTTCCAAGTTGTACAAGAGTACGATAACTGCTCTCTGAGGATCCCGACCCTTCGCTCTTTTACCCTTGTACGTTCCAGTTTCATCGAGTACAACGCGTTTAAAAATCTTGTCATTGGCGCCCCTAATCTTGTCAGTCTTTCCATCACTCTCTCAGACGACAGGAATTACATAGTAGACGAATTTCGCGACGACCTGATTGCCTGCGTGGCTCCTCTCTTGCCAAATCTTGAAAGCTTTACGGCCGAATGTCAATACAAACATAATCTATATAACCAACTGAATTGCATTCTGACCATCGAGTCTGCCAACGTCCTGTGTGCCAACTGCCCACGCCTTAAACTCCTCGGACACCTGGACGTTTGGGACCTCGATGATAAAGATGTAAATGACCTTATAGAGCGTGTAAAAGCCAACAACTGGGACCTGGAGGTGGTGTAGACTCACAGCTTCCGCGTGTTTGTAAACATGATGCTTTGAATACACATGTTAATCACAATAATGTGATATATCTATGAGAAATCTTTGGAGCAGGATGAAGGATCGAACTTTGTGTCCTGGGTAACCCCAGAAGCACGCCTTAACCCATGGACATTGGAAGGTTATTTTACCTGAGATCTACTGGATTTGGGAGGATCCAGGCGACAGGGTTAAATAACGTGGTTAAATAACCTTTGCACATCATAGTCCACGGGTTAAGGCACGGGTCTGGGGCTACCCAGGATGAGGATTTGATACTCGTCCTACTCAAAGATTTTATCAGTGTCTAAAAATTATTGAGATGATAAAATATTGTTATAACATACAATTTGAGCCTAAAGACAGGTATATTATACTGACAGGTGATATTATATGTTTCCCATAAGTAACGCCTATACCCTAATATAATAGGCTAAGCCTATTTTAAGTAGTAATAATACGTAGTAATGCAACTGTCATTAATTATCTAAGATTACTGAAACTGCTTGCTATATTGATTTCTAGATCATAAATTCTCTTATTTCAAGATAAGATATACTGTATTGTGTCAGTGTATATGAACAAGTATTTTTAATATAATTTGCAATCAGCTAATTAAACAAAAACTGAGAAATTAAACAAACTCATAGAGATCTGGAACAATATAACAGTTGTGCTTCCAAAATACAGAATATGATTCAGAGTCCGCTCCAGATGAGCAAATTTTGATTTCCGTATATTTCTTTCTAGGTATTTTCGACTTCCTAAAGCAAACAATAGAACACATCATGATGCACATTTGAAAACATAAATATAGACAATGCTCTGTCTATACTGTATTATAATATAAAGCATAAATACTGAATTCTTTACTTTAATGAACATATTAATTTAGTCTTGCAGTTAGACACAATATTTGTTTCTAGCAGTATTTGCAAACTGCTTGATCAAACTCATTAATAATCTTTACTCTTGAGAATTTTCTGACTTTAGCCGAAGTCTCTTCTATGACTTTTTTTTTTTTTACACAATAGAGTACAGGAGCAGACGACTGCTGACTCCTGTTAGCAGGCTGAGAGCTTTCCCTTCCCATAGCTCATGGTAAGCCTTACCCTACTAGTTTTACACACAGGTGGGTACAGGAGCAGACGACTGCTGACTCCTGTTAGCTGGCTGAGAGCTTTCCCGTCCCATAGCTCATGGTAAGCCTTACCCTACTAGTTTTACACACAGGTGGGTACAGGAGCAGACGACTGCTGACTCCTGTTAGCTGGCTGAGAGCTTTCCCTTCCCATAGGTCATGGTAAGCTTTACCCTACTAGTTTTACACAGGTGGGTACAGGAGCAGACGACTGCTGACTCCTGTTAGCAGGCTGAGAGCTTTCCCTTCCCATAGCTCATGGTAAGCCTTACCCTACTAGTTTTACACACAGGTGGGTACAGGAGCAGACGACTGCTGACTCCTGTTAGCAGGCTGAGAGCTTTCCCTTCCCATAGTTCATGGTAAGCCTTACCCTACTAGTTTTACACACAGGTGGGTACAGGAGCAGACGACTGCTGACTCCTGTTAGCAGGCTGAGAGCTTTCCCTTCCCACAGCTCATGGTAAGCCTTACCCTACTAGTTTTACACACAGGTGGGTACAGGAGCAGACGACTGCTGACTCCTGTTAGCAGGCTGAGAGCTTTCCCTTCCCACAGCTCATGGTAAGCCTTACCCTACTAGTTTTACACACAGGTGGGTACAGGAGCAGACGACTGCTGGCTCCTGTTAGCTGGCTGAGAGCTTTCCCTTCCCATAGCTCATGGTAAACCTTACCCTACTAGTTTTACACACAGGTGGGTACAGGAGCAGACGACTGCTGACTCCTGTTAGCAGGCTGAGAGCTTTCCCTTCCCACAGCTCATGGTAAGCCTTACCCTACTAGTTTTACACACAGGTGGGTACAGGAGCAGACGACTGCTGGCTCCTGTTAGCTGGCTGAGAGCTTTCCCTTCCCATAGCTCATGGTAAACCTTACCCTACTAGTTTTACACACAGGTGGGTACAGGAGCAGACGACTGCTGACTCCTGTTAGCAGGCTGAGAGCTTTCCCTTCCCACAGCTCATGGTAAGCCTTATCCAACTAGTTTTCCTGGAACATGACCAGCCAATTAGTGATTGGCGATACATAAAGGGGGGCACAGATGGAAACAAAGTATACATATGAGGTACACAGACATTGTAAAATCAGACTGGAAAAGATCATCAGGGCAAATGGGGGGGGGGACTTTTGACAAGCCCCCAGCTTCTTGTCCTTGTCGAGGCCACTAGTGTTAGTGGCCCTCAGGGAAATGGGTAAATTAAAAGATTTTTGTGTCAAGCGTAAACAAATGCGCTAAAAAACGTGTAGTGGTGAATTCCATACACCACTTCATATACTGTATAGGTACAACAGAACCCAATAGGCTTAGGAACCTGTACACCATTAGATTGAAGGTCGAGATATAAGACGAGAGCTAGACTAATCACAATTAGGAGAGCATTTCTGACCTAACCAATCTTATCCTCTTTTTTTCTACCCAACACCCACACCACTTTTCCACCCACTCCTCTCTCGTGATTGTGAGAATTGAATTTCAGCTTTCGATCTTGCTTCTCGACCCAAGCTTTTAAGTACAATAACTTTAATCTGTTGCATCACATTTTGTACTCTGCAAGAAGGTATCAATTCTTCTTAAGTACACTCATCGTTCTATACATGGCACCTTGTCTTGAACCACTCAAAGGCTAGGTAGCTATGCACAACGGTTACAGTATTCAATTTTGTTGGAACGTCTATTTGACAGTTTCATTTCGTGGCTTATGCAGAAAGGAATAGTTGTGCTATGGTTATTGCTACTCTGCTACTTAGTACATCATCGTTTGCAAACTCCAAAATCACAAGAAGCATTATTATTAGTTCTTATCAAGTTCTAACATCTAATCCAAAAATATCAGAGTACTGATATAAGGTAACAAGATATTGTTAATATAAGGTACAGTAATGTTGAAATAATAACATCTGTACAGCTTTAAATGTATGTGCTAATGTATTGTTACCTCTCCTTATTAGTGTTTTTTTTTTTTTGGGGGGGGGGGAGGTTTAATGAGATATTATTAAATGAATAGGAAAAATATAGCTAGACAATAAGTAACAACAATGTGGCTGAAAATTAGACACCCAACCTACAAATCTGAAAATAATGGAACTCATGACATTTCGGTTTGTCCTGAACCATAAACAAGTTGAGCCACTTGATAATGGTCCAGGACGAACTGAAGTCTTTATCAATTACTTCACTTTCAGATTTGTGGGTTGGGTGTCCAAAAAAGATCTAACTGCATGAGTTGTCTGACTTGACCAGGCAGGGGGAGGTAGTTATCAAAAGATACGAAGCCAGGCAGAAGGAGTATTACATGAACAAAAAAGTTCTATTAATACAGTAGAAAAGTGATAAGTGGCAGTAGGGTGGGTGCCAGGAGACTATAATTACAGCTGGTAGCCACAATATTGATATCTTTATTAAGTTAAGATTTTCAATTTTAATCAGACTTATTACATGAACCCTAATCTCTATCAGTGTGTTCACCAGAAACTGTGTTTTTAAGCAGAGGCTTTACAGCAGGAGGAAGATGATGAGGGGCTAAACTGTCACTCAACCTGTCATAACCTTCACAGGAGACCAGTCATGTACAGTAGTATTCCATGCCCATGTGCAAATCTTTTAAACTGTAAGCCACATGTTATCCACATATTACTGGCTACCTCACTGGTGCCCCAGGAAGGTTAAAATACAGATTGGTTGCTTCCTATTGTGGGCACTACAACACTATATGGTCTCACAGGTGAAGCCACTGCTACCATACAGAGGTTTGGGTTCGACTAGGCGAGGATTCCTTAAAAAGATGGAATTTAAAAAACTAAGAGCCGTGTGAAAACTACCTGTGTTAACTGTGGCTCTGTTGGCTGAGATTATCTCATATCAGAGAACACTGCATCAAAGTAAATCTTGTCCTGGTGATGTGGTAGCAAAGTTTCGTGCATATAGTATGAATACCAATACTGTACTCTATAGTGTCCTTCATACAAAAGTACTTCTCACTTTTTTTAGTTTTAAATATTTGTGCATAGAAGGAATGAATATTCCAAAACACATACACCAAATTATGAAAATATTCAATCCTATGTTACAAAAATAAAGTGACAGGCACAAAGGTAACTATCAAAAGGAGGCATCAAGCCAGTGACAGGCAAGTTGTTCTTGCACACTGTTTATAGTGGCACTCCTACCATATAATATATACGCAGTAAACATTATGAGTATTTGAGTTACATTCATTCTTTGCAATACTAGAGAATGCTAATAACTTTATCAATTGCTATTCATACCAATTACTTATTTTGTAATGTCCCTTGACATCACTGACTACTAATTTTAGGATGAACATGAAAAGAGAGAGCGAGATTAGATAATTTTATCTGAATTGTAACAAAAAATTATAATGCGTTTCTTCGGCTGATCAGCTATCGCTGTCTTCACCAGAACCTGTATGTTTTTTGATCTGGAAATCAAACCCCAGAGTCCCATCACAGGGCTGGAATGTAACAGAATAGTGGAGTCTGCATGGCTGCATGTTGTCAACGGTCACAGGCTCTCTGAATAGGTACACCCCTTGTCGGCTATATACATCCCATCTGATCTGTTTAAACAACAAGAAATTAATTCACTTGTGTGCAAGAGAAAACAGGGTTACTTATGCATGCAGACCATAATATGAAATATAGCAATGGACAAGACTGAGTAGAAGCAGACTGTTAGGAGGGAATAAATGATTGGCTATTTATTTATCAACCATTCAAATTATATTTACGTATGAAATGGCTGTAATGCTAATCCAATTATTTTGGGAATGGTAGAGTCCACATGACATTAACAGCTTTTCTTGTCATTTGATACTGTAACCCACATTTAATATGCTTTTTATTGTTTCCTTACAGCGTCTCGTCATCTATACATATGAGATTTCTGTATCACTCATTTTCTTACTTTAACCAATGACTATTGATCCCCTTCTTTTATTTTTCTACCCTTACCATTACACTTTTACTTTCCTATAATCATGTCATTCATCTCACTCCCTGCCCTCCCCCAAAAATAAGCTTTCTTTTTGTCCCAAGAATTTGGTCGTATTTTTCTTTGCTTCCTTTTGCTGACATATACATTCATCCAAACAGTACATTTAAGACACATCATAGATCCCAAAGCCATCACGTGGCAAACACCTCCATAAACATATACAGTGTACTTATACTTCTCCAATGCCTCTTTCTCCTAATTTATTCATATACAACACCTTTCATCACTTTTTTTGTTTTAAACTTTTTAATATTTTCACTTACAATGTACATGCATTTTGAGTCAATTCAGAATGCAGGTTCTAAATGTTCTAAATATCTGAAAGAATTTTAAATGACTAGAGAAGGTCCTAGATTCATTTAGACACAAGATGGACATTAGGTAACATTGAACATTTGTTTATGTATCTAAAATGGGATTATGTAAAATTATTACACAGTAGAGCACTGAAAATCCACAAAGCCAGGCACCAATACATTTTGAAGCAAGAGACTGACTTAATTAAAATGCTTAATTACCAAATGAAAATAAGATATATATTTTTTGTATTACTTACATATTGATCTAATTCAACTGGTTCTACAGGGCCTGTAGTAATAATATCCTCAGTTTTATCAGTCATATGCCAGTCTGCCCAGAGAGCCATGCCATTGACCAGACCAGGACTTGGCAGTGGGATTGAGCCAACACATATCACAGGATTGTCTGGAATGGTGGCAGACAGGTCTAGCGTTAAAAGACAAACAGGATGTCCTCGAGATTTAGCTGGATATTCCCAGAGGGGTTGTGGCTCGACCCTCTCATCTGCTTCTTCACAAGCCGACTCAATTAGCTGAAATGAAATCGTGTACTTTAAATGGAGGAATAAGAGGAGTTAATTTAAGAAATTTACACTTATGAATGTATGCTATGGATGCAGGAAGGGAGTGGATGGTTCAAACAATAAACAATACAGAGTGTGCTTTTTTCCCAGACCAGCAGCAGGTAAGGGATAGCAACCACCTTGACTATGGAGCTCCTGGACTGTTTACCCTGAAACCTTACACTTTATGCCCATGATTTTTGGGCTGTTTGCCTCATTGTCTTGGTGTTGTGCTTGGTGTTGGTTACCTCTTTCCATTTCCTTCTTTCAAGAAATGGGTTTGTTTGTTTCATTTGAGATTTCTGGTCAGTTTTCCTTGTTTTCTGAGTCAATCTTCCCTCATCTCATTAAAGACCTGATTCTCAGAGAACTGGTACACTCTGAAGGATTAAGAATATTAGTGAATGCGCTCTGGATAGCTACTGAGGAATCACCTGATATTGACACAAGAAAAGTATGAGACCAAAACAGCAGTGCCAAAGCAAAAGAGTGAGGGGAGATTAGAGATAACGTGATGTCTTGTGCGGGGCAAGCAGGAAAATTCTGAAATATATGCATCAGTTAAAACAATAAAATAAAAATCCAGCTTAAAAGTGTAGCCAAATATAACACGATAAAATGCAAAATTTTAACCCAAGTCAATAGTGGGACATTTATAAAGCATACACCTTACAATCCTTACCCACTTGGTAGAACTTAAAACATGTACTCGCCTATCGGTGATTACAGGGGAGTGAGATCTATCTCTTTAAGCCTCTGTAAGTAAGCAATAATATCAAGTTACCTTATCAAATATATCCATTTTGAATCCATTGCACTGATGCAGTGGTGCATGAATTTTCCACAGGTCTCTGTATTGCACCGGTACCCCCCAGATCGTGGCAGTGGCTGGGGTTCTAACAGCTCCAGGAGTTAGGAGATGAAGGCAGCTGTTGCGCATGTACCAACAGTACAGGGAATGCCACGGCAAGAGAGAGGTCGAGAAGAATGGCTCGCTAAATGTTACACTTGCCTGAAATTCAGCAAGAAAAAGTACACATTAGATATATCAATAAAAATAAATATGTTTGGTGCAGGACCTCAGCACAGTGTATGCCAAGGATAAACATCAGAGGTATCAACAGCCAGAGGGCCTCTCCTGAAAGCAGACATCTTCTTAGCCAGAAATGAGAGGGAAAAAAGCTCTCACAATAGAACAATCACCAGAGCCAAGTAGCATAAGTTCACTAACCCAATTTTTGGAAGGCAAAGCCAATAAAGAGCCTCCTCATTAAAAAGTGTATGTTAACTATATGAACAGTTCTTGGGAAAAGGGGAAGACCCTCAAGAGTACAAGAGTGACCAGACTTGAGCTAACGACCAAGAGGTTTAAGGAGGAAAGTGAGCAAGCCAGAGATGAGAAAAAGGCCCAAGCTAATTTAACAAAGAAGTTGAGGACACATCCACCCCAAACACATACAGAAGAGGCTCTGCAATGCTAACTAATAAGAGGTGACAGTGATGAGTATCTAACAAATTCAAAAACTCAAAACATAAAAGACATTAACACAGCCACCGTGACCAAAGACAACCAACTAAAGGATCTGAAGAAAGTGGAAGGTACACAATCCCACCTCATACTGTTGCCTTAATGGAAGATGCAAATGTGACACCTGTAAATCTTTCACATGCCTTCCATGAGTGAAGGTAAGCAGTGAGCTTCGAACCATCTTGTATATGTTCGACTGCTGATCCTCTGGGAGGCAATGCTTCAAAACATAGAACAGGACAAGGACAACTAGAAGGGAGGGCTGGGAATCAGGGCTAACCCTGCCATGTGATAGCAAGAAGAACAATATAGAACACAAGGTCCTCAGTCTGTACACCACTGGGAGGAGTATTTGGAACGGAGAGAGGAGACCTAGGAATTTCTACTGAATTCAACACCAAATGTAGCCATCACAAACATCACACAATTGAGAAGCCTAGTCATGTAAAGAAGCAGCTGGCCATTCCACACCAAGGCAAAGAGATCCATCTCTACACCTCTGAACATTGCATATTTCCACTGAAAGTAGACGCTGTTCATCTCCTACTCTATTAAAATTTAACAGAAGCACGACAGGCAGTCCACATACACGTTCAAAACATCTTAAATGTGGACAATGAGGACTAAATCACAAGAAGCCACAAATAAAGCCGTCCTTTAGAGTTCAACCCCCACACACGAAAAGGCACCAGTTCACCCCACATGAAAAGGCACAAGAGTAAACCAGCCCGTTCAGGGAACGATCTACCAATGTGCAACCTGAACAAAAGATGTAGATAAGATCTCACCATTGATTAAGGAGGCATTTTGGAAAATGACTAATGTGGTGCCAATATCTATGAAAGCAGGAAGACAGGAGCCACTAACTGTAGTTTAGTGGCTACTGTCTTCCAAGACATTGGCTCCTGTCTTCCACTGCAGGGAGACCACCACTTGGGCAGGACGTAAGAGCGACGGTCTCGCTACGTGCAGGTCGGCGTTCAATCCCCGACTGTCCAAGTGGTTGGGCACCATTCCTTTCCCCCCTGTCCCATCCCAAACGCTTATCCTGACCCCTTCCAAGTGCTATACAGTCGTAATGGCTTGGCGCTTTCTCCCTGATAATTCCCCCCCCCCCCCCCCCCTTCCACTGCAGGGAAGTGGAAGAAACTTTCTTACACTACAAGCACAATGTATCCCCTACAAGGCATTTGAGACACTAAATGGGAAATCCTGCCTCACCAACTTATCAAGAGTTCTATGACAAGAGGACAGACATTAAACAGGAAAGAGGATTGGGCAGATGGCACTTGCCTGAATTGCCATGATGAGATATTTTCAAGGTCACGTGAAATAAGGAAAAACAACACCAAACAAAAAACAAAATAACAAATAATTACCAGTAATTGGACTACACTGGCAAGAAATGAAAGGAACTTTAGTTAAGATTATTGATAAGTTATAGATTTCATGAACATATAGAGTGGGGGTTTTCTCAAGATTTTGCAAGGTTATAAAATCAAATATAGAGAGGATAAAAAACCCACACTTATTTAATTTGTGAGTTTTATGTCAAGATTTACACCGAGTCTTTCACACTCTCCTGAGTGCTTTGTCAAGGTCTGAGTACTGTATATGGTTAGGACGAGACTTACATCTCAAAGTCTAATGAAGCTGCTATCTTTGGTCCAGTCACCTTATCCTTCTTGACCTCCTGACCATTTCACCTCTTTTCCCTCAAATATCACACACTATAGTCACCTCAAATATTATACACTATTTGTATGAAATATTTCACATTATTTGTATGAAATATTTCACATTATTTGTATGAAATATTTCACATTATTTGTATGAAATACTTCACACCATTTGTGTGAAATAATCTATAAAAGTAATATTAGAACTAGAAGGGTAGTAGAAGGGGTTCTAATAAACACTCTGAAGGCTTTCACTGGTAACAAAAGCTTAACTTCGAAGGATAGTTTTACTAGAAAAATGATTCTAAGCGAATTAAAATTAGATCTCGGAACATGGATGAATATAAGTAGTCGCGTTTCTTTCGCTATGGAGAAGGTTACAAGGGATAGCATCCAGATGAACACCTCTATTAATAATAACTCCAGTTCTCAGAATATCAGGATCACAGAAAGGACACCTACCTTGAGGTGTTTTTTACCTTGAGGTATTTTCGGGGCTTAGCGTCCCCGCGGCCCGGTCGTCGACCAGGCCTCCACCCGGTAATAATTCCTTAGATGACATCACCGCAGGTGCATCCACAGTTGGGAATAAGGTGACATGGTCAGGAGATCAAAAAGGATAAGAAGACTGGACCCGGAATAGCAGCCTCATTAGTCGTTGACTAATTTTTGTTTCGTTGCTTTCTCGTTGTGTTTTTGTTTTGTCTCTCGTTGCAAGTCTCGACCTGATCACACACTCAGACCTTGACAAAGCTCTCAGGAGAACGTGAAAGTCTTGGTGTAAATCTTTACATAAATTTCACAAATTACACAAGTGTGGGTTTTTATCCTATACTATTATTTATCAAATGTAGATATTATTGACCTACTGGTACATTGACCAATTTCAGTAACAACCATATTTTAAGATAAAAATGACTAACTTAACTTAAAGTCAATAGATGAGACCTAAAGATACAGAATGGAAACCTTTACAAAGAAACAGCATCAAATAAAAACTAATAGACAAAACAAAAGGATCCCTACTTGGGATTCCTAATTACTCACCGGTGACACCAACTGGTCTACAGACGTGTTGCAAACATCTTCCGATAACACGGTCACTTTGTGCTGAACATCATTTGCCGTGATGAACTCCTGCATCACTCGTCTATTGGCTTCACTTCCTTCCGTCACATAAACATGGCGAGCCCCTGTACAAGTCACAAAAGGTCACATATACAATTCTAAATTACAGAATAAGTCAATCTGATCAATTAAAGCATGCGCAGGAACTAAAAATACATACAATAATGTAGAGCTGAAAATACAGCAGATATAACTACAGTTATGGCAACTACAGTAATGTGAAGTTCCCAGCAAGTCGAAAGTGTCTATATAGAGTATGCCGTGACATGGGTGACTAGACTGAGGTTCAGAATCAAATAGTCTTCAACGTGCAGCTGGCAGTCTACAAGTCTGCTTGAAAGAGATGAGAAAACATTTATGAAGTTCATTATGATATAATCTAAGTTCCAAGTGCTTCACATAAAGAACCAAGTCAGGCTAAACTTAAAAGCTAGATTGCAAAATTATTAATCTACCGAGTTGCAAAAGATTGAGGCTTGAGTGTAGACTGGAGTCATCAATATTAAAAGTAGACAGCACATATATGGTGTGAAGATCATAAATTAATACTAACAATGAGAAAATAATATGGCAGAAGGTGCAATTTTAAACACTTATCTCTGGAGAGTTCAAGTATAAAAGTTTGGTCTAAATATGAAACAATATGGGAATCCATTTGCCATTTGTTTCCCACTACAACCCTTTAATAACCCAACCCACATGTATGAAATGAAATTTGAGTGACGACATTTCGGTACGTCCTCAACCCTCATCAAGTCATAGCTTCATGAGGATCTCTTATCTCGAGATGATTTCGGGGCTTTAGTGTCCCCGCGGCCCGGTCCTCGACCAGGCCTCCACCCCCAGGAAGCAGCCCGTGACAGCTGACTAACACCCAGGTACCTATTTTACTGCTAGGTAACAGGGGCATAGGGTGAAAGAAACTTTGCCCATTGTTTCTCGCCGGCGCCCGGGATCAAACCCGGGACCACAGGATCACAAGTCCAGTGTGCTGTCCGCTCGGCCGATCAGCTCCCTCAACAGGATCCACAACATCTCCACATGAAATTTTTATGTGTAATTACTTAAGTGTAGTTACAGGATGAGAACTACACTCATGGCATTCTGTCTTCCCAGTACTGAACTCTACTATAAAATGCTTTGAAGTCTTAATATTCCAGTTGGGCAGCAGACAGGTCTCTGGAATCATTCCTTATTGTGGGTCTTAGTGGGATGGGTTATTGGTTTCATCCACATCATTGTGACTTATTCTCTACAAACCTTGGTTTCTATTTATCAAACACTCTCCAAATCCGTTCAGTATCTTCTCTGTTATTCTAGCCTGTTTTTAAACATGTGAATCCTGTAGTTTATCTTTAGTTGGTTTCAAGAGTTGTAATCTTCAAGTCTGGCCTGGGAACAGTAGTGTTTTGTGATAACTTGATCAGTAAGGCAGTTGTTTACAGTGGCCCAGCACATGCATGCCAAATACTCCGAGTTCTTCTTTACTGCCCTAGGTTTTATGGTGTGCATGTGAAGCTTCAGTGTGCTATTTGTCAGTTATATATTTTCTTTCTCACAGCTCTTGTTTTCTTACACAGGGCTGATGCGAGGGATGTCAAACCCAGATTTGAGATCCTTTACCATATTTTTTGTTTCGTTGGCCATGCCAGTAGTCCGAAGAGGCTGTAGGGAATTCCATCCCATTTATTATTTCCCAAAACCGAGTAGTCAGGACGCATCTGATCCTACGATCATTGTCACACCTAAATCAAGAACAAACACCCAATGATTGGTGGGCTTGGTAGCATTATGGGTGTGTCTATGGTATCAGAGCCAAATACATCAGGAAACTATTGCAACCAGCCCAGAAAAGCATGCATCTAAATATTATTGCTAAATGCACTAGTACTTCTGCTACATATATACAGTACTGTACTGTACAGTACTAATTTTATTTGCAAATTTCCCAATGAAGTAGATGTGATTCAACATTACCCCTTCAAAGATATGATGATGGAAGAAAATAATCTAAAAGGTACTTGAAAAACAAGATTGCTTCTAACTTTCCTCCCGATGCAAAAGTTGTGGCTAGCAAAAGATCAACTGTTTTCTTCAATGTATCTATTTTAAACATCCCAGTGCCTACATTCAAGTGAAATTTCCTTCTCTGGCTCCACGTATTCTATTTCTCTAATTCTTTTGGACAAGTCTCATTGTTTTCTTCATTTATACTCTGCTCAAGATTCTTGTACCATGTGCAAACCGATTCATGTGCTTACTCATACCTTCTGGTTAATAATTAAGCAATTAGTATACAGTATACCCAAGTACAAAATTGGGAAGACTTTTTTTATCATCATCTTAATGGGAGAAGGTAAGACCCTCTGGTACCTGGAGAGGGTCTCAGAAGTTTTCCTTTACACTGCACTTGGACTTGATCTTATTTGATCGACTGTTACTCTTTGCATTCTGTTTGACAGGAAACTGTCAAATGATATTCAAAAAGTCCTAAACATCAATCAGAATGCCAATACACCTTCGGACAAGTCGTTTATGTAAATTGAAAACATTGTCGAGGCCAGTTGTGATTCTTGTGGGACCTCATTAATGTTTTGGCCCCATCTAGACAGTTTATCACTTATCCGTGCTTGCACTTTTCTGTCTAAACAAGCTTCTTGCAAAATAAAATAATTTGCCTATTATTTTTCTTGAATTCCATAGTTTTCAAACGAGCCTTTCACAGAGAAATCAAAAGTTTTTTAAGAGTCAAAGCTAATTCCACTTGCCCACCTTATACGTATCATAAATAGTTTGAGACAAGACATCAGATCACCAATAAAAAGGACATTTCTGCTTACCTAATTTAGCCGCTGCTATAGCCATTAAGCAACCATCTCCTAAAGCTAAGCAGACGCTGTCAGGCTTAATGTATCGTTCTAAGACTCGGACATAGATTTCTATTCTGCGAGGATCGTTGAGTTGCCCCAGACGAGTCCGGGAATTTACAATGTGAATACCACACTCACATACTGGCCGGTCTTCACATACATATTCACTGAAATCACACACGTAATATCCATGATATGAAAAATAAGGGTAGAAACAAAGGCTTTGCAAATCTTTGAGATGAATAATATTGATGAACAATAATGAAATAATGAACAAAAGTTCATTCTCAATTTCAGTTATTATAACTACTGCTGTTAATATTGTATCAACAGTTGTTATTACTAGGCTTACTACTTTTACTATTAATGTACTACAGTACTACAAAGCAATTTTACCAACTTTTACCAAAATTTTACCAAATTAAACTTTTTAAATCTCTCTCTATAAAAGGTTTCTTATTTCTAGAAATAATTTTGTCATCCTTCTCTGTACTGAACATATTCAAGTGAATTTATGTTTATTTTATAAGATGGTAACCAAAATTGAACTGCATAATTTAAATTTAATTAATAATTCAATTGTTTGGAGACAGGAAACCTGATTATATATATTGTATATATATATACAGTACATATAATCAGGCGATGAGTCACAATTACGTGGCTGAAGTATGTTGGCCATACCACATACTAGAAAGTGAAGGGATAACAACGTTTCAGTCCGTCCTGGACCAATCTAAAGTCGACTGTGGTTTGTACAACATTGTACAGCATGCATGCATGCATATATATATATATACAGTATATATATATATATATATATATATATATATATATATATATATATATATGTCGTACCTAGTAGCCAGAACTCACTTCTCAGCCTACTATTCAAGGCCCGATTTGCCTAACAAGCCAAGTTTTCCTGAATTAATATATTTACTATAATTTTTTTCTTATGAAATGATAAAGCAACCCTTTTCTCTATGTATGAGGTCAATTTTTTTTTATTGGAGTTAAAATTAACGTAGATATATGACCGAACCTAACCAACCCTACCTAACCTAACCTAACCTATATTTATAGGTAAGGTTAGGTTAGGTAGCCAAAAAAAGCTAGGTTAGGTTAGGTTAGGTAGGTTAGGTAGACGAAAAAACATTAATTCATGAAAACTTGGCTTATTAGGCAAATCGGGCCTTGAATAGTAGGCTGAGAAGTGCGTTCTGGCTACTAGGTACGACATATATATATATATATATATATATATATATATATATATATATATATATATATATATATATATATATATATATATATATATATATATATATATTGTGACGGTAACGCGTTGGTGTTCGGCTGTTTAAGGCTAGGGGTATGGCCTCGTCACATAGTTATAAAAAAAAATAGAAAAACTGGAACTTCGTCTGTGGTAAGGTAAGGAGAAGACACACAAAACACAAGTAAAACTTTAACAATGAAATTTTAATTACGTTAAATAAATCAAAACATGAAAATAATGCACAAACAAATATGTATAATAAAATCAATCAAAATAATAAGAATACTTAAATGACACAATGAAAAGTTACGTTAAGGCAAAATAACAAGAAGTGCAACAAAAGGTAAGTGGGAGGTGCTGGAATATTGGCTTAAAGCCACCACCTCTCTCAGTACACGCTAACGTCTAGCTGGGAGGAGTGCTGGCTACGAAAGCACGGAACATTCTGAGGACTGATGTTGGGGCGACCCCAGACATCAGGTAGTATTGGGGGGGGGCGAGGCAGGTGCAGCCAGACCGGCGACCAATCAGCGGAGCCGTAGCGATCAACGGGTAGTTTGGTGGTTGGAGTTCGAACAGGTGGCTGGATGCATACGTTTCTGCTCACCCTGGCAAGCCTTGCTGGTGCTGGTGTTGTTGTCGTTGTTGGACATTTCTTCCATAGTCTTTTTATATAATTGTGAAGACGTAATTTTGGAGGGAAGAGCAGGCTCAATCTCTTGAAGGAGATTATCGTCACAACTCTCCCCCGAAGCCTGCGGTTCTGGAAGAAGTACGTCGTTATGTGGTGGAGTAATGGATGGAGTCGCTTCTACTTCATAAACTCTGGAGAGGGCATCGGCTATGGTGTTGTCAGAACCCTTGATATAGCGGATCTCCAGGTTGAAGTCTTGTAAATACAGAGCCCATCGTAGAAGACGCTGGTTGGTGAATTGGGCTTGATGTAGGAAGCGGAGAGGGTTGTGGTCCGAGAAGATGGTGGTAGACCTGGCGCCTTGTAGGTACGGAGCGAAGTGTTGGAGGTTCAGGACGATGGATAGTAGCTCCTTTTCAATAGTGCTGTAGTTCCTCTGGTGTGGTTTCAGTTTGTAGCTGTAGTAGCTGACAGGTAGAACCTCCTCGCCTCGTAGTTGCATCAGGACACCACCAACGCCGGTACCACTGGCGTCGACATGAAGGACGAAAGGCTTGGTGATATCTGGAGAGGCGAGAATGGGGTTAGAACAGAGGAGGAATTTGAGTTGTTCGAAAGCAACGGTTTGCTGCATGGTCCAATTATACCGTTGCTTGGGACTGGTTAATAGAATTAGAGGTGTGGCGACTGTACTGAAATTCCTCACAAACCTACGGTAGTAAGAGGCAAGACCAAGGAAGCGCAGGAGCTGCTTCCTGGTGGTAGGCTGTGGATACTGTAGGATGGCTTGCGTGTGTGAGTCTAACGGAGCTATGCTGCCACTCCCAATAACATGACCCAGATAACGCACTTTACCTTTCGCGAAAGTGGACTTGCCCAGGTTGATGGTGAGGCCGGCTGTCAGGAGCTTGGAGAACAGACGTCGCAGCTGGAGCAGATGTTCACTCCAGGAGTTGGAGGCTACGACGATATCGTCCAGGTAGGCGTATGTGTTATCCAAGCCCTGGATGACACGGTTGACAGCTCTTTGAAAGGTGGCCGGGGCATTACATAGTCCGAAAGGAAGGCGTTCATATCTGAAAAGTCCAAAAGGAGTGATGAAGGCAGATATCTCTTTAGCGCGCTCCGTTAGACACACTTGATAGTACCCCTTAAGCAAGTCCACTTGGGACAAGTACTGGGCACTACCAATGGCATCAAGGATGTCATCTATCCTTGGCAAGGGGTAAGCATCCTTGACAGTGACAGAGTTCAGTTTTCGATAGTCAGTGCACAACCGCACCTTACCTTGGGGTTTGGGCACCAAGATACAAGGTGAGGCCCAGGGGGACTCACAAGGTGTAGCCAGTCCATGATCCAAGAGGTATTGCACCTCAGCACGCATGACTTCCTTCTTGCTCGGGCTGATTCGGTAGAAGGGTTGACGAATCGGCCGGGTGTCGGGGAGCAGTTGGATGTCGTGCTGGGTAACATTACACTCTTGGGGATCATCTCTGAACAACTCTTGATGTTCTCTGAAGATCTTGACGAGAGGTGCACTATGATTATCCTGAAAGTATTTGGGAAGATCATTAAGGATTTCGGAATTAGAAAGCGCTGACTCCTTGTCAGTGCTTTCGGGAGGAGAAGCTGGGAAGGTCTCACTGTGGATGTAGGGTTCTGTGAATGTGGAATAATTAGTCAAGACAGTGGGAGGAGTACCATTATATTGCTTCAGGAGGTTGACGTGGCACAGCTGGGTCTTCCGCCGCCTATCTGGAGTCTCTATCACATAATTATTATTATTCCTGCACTCTTTGACGCAGTAGGGTCCTGAAAATTTGTTTTGTAAAGGTGAACCTGGGATAGGAAAATAGGCAAGGACGAAGTCTCCCGGCTTGAATTTTCTTACTTTGCTGGTCTGGTCGTAATGAGTCTTCATTCTCACCTGGGCTTTCAATAGATTATCATGAGCAAAGCGGTGGACTCTCTCTAGAATGTGTTGAAGGTTTTGAAGAAACTGGGGCACATTCTGATGTTCACTGAAGGTGGCATCTCTGAGAGAGTCTTTGAAAGCCTTAAGGGGAGTACGGCACTTACGGCCGTAGAGCATCTCATAAGGAGATACTCCTAGGGACTCATTGGGGAGACTTCTGAAAATACACATTATTAGGTCAATCTGCTTATCCCAATCCTTTGAGGTTTCACTACAAAACTTTTTCAAGAGTGCTTTGATGGTCTGATGACTACGTTCAAGAGAACCCTGTGAAGCAGGATGATAGGGGCTGGACAATACCTGTTTGATGTTGAACTCCTCCAGTGTCCTTTTGAAGAGATCACTGGTGAAGTTGGTGCCACAGTCACTTTGAATCTCCCTGGGAAATCCGTATTGAGTGAAGATCTTCAGTAGATGTTTGATAACCGTAGCAGCCGTGATGTTCTTCACTGGAACTGCTATGGGAAATCTGGTGGTAGGACACAGGATGGTTAGGATGTAGGCGTTACCTGAACTGGTCCGAGGTAAAGGACCAACACAGTCTATTATGAGTCTGTGGAAAGGTTCCGCAGGCACCTGTATGGGAATCAGTGGTGCTCTGGGAATGGAGACGTTCGGTTTGCCTGCCATCTGACATGTATGACACTGTTTTACGTACTGTTTGACGTTATTTACCATACCTGGCCAGTAGTAGTCTTGGCGAATCCCATGGTAAGTCTTGTTGAAGCCGTAGTGGGAGAATGCTCCGTGGGCCAGGTGTAGAATAGTGGGCCGCAGGCTGGTGGGAATCACAAGTTGTTCGGTGTTGGCCCAATCGTCCTCCTCCTTCAGTTTACTGGGTCTATATCTGCGGTAAAGCAAGTCGTTCTCTAGGAAGAACCCAGGAATACTGTCGGGTTGAGTCTCAGCCTGGAAAAACAATGGTGTTAAAGTAAGATCTTCCCTCTGCAACTTACGGAACTCCAACTTGGTCAGATGCGGGGGTAGTTTCTGAGGGTCTTGAGGGACAGCGGTAGCAGTAGAGTCAGCTGGCTGTGGACGTGCGGCTTGTGCACAGGTGGTCACGAGAACCGGAGGAGAAACTTTATCACTCTCTTGAACCTCTGCTGGAACATACTCGAGAATAGGATTACTTGGCACAGAGTTACACACCTGGGGTTTGTCCATGACGATCAGGTTGGTCGGTTGCAGGTCTTCTGCCAAGTCGTTGCCTAGGAGAAGTTGCACTCCAGGCATGGGAAAAGGCTTTTCCCTGACGGCGACTTGGACTTCCCCG